TAAATGGTTTGTCCTTTTTTCATTAAGGTCCCCGCATCAGAGGCAACACATCTGATGGTGTTAACAGCGATACTTTTAATGGTGTGTACATGGCAAAGCACTGTATGTTCTCTTAATGGATTTTGTTATGGCGCTAAAGAGATTATGTGTATAAAACACATGACTATTTGGCTTTTGCCCATTTGAAACTGAATGCTAAAATTTAGCATAAACTAGCAGTATGAACTTTGTGGTGTAGGATTTTTATGCTCACATCCGAGGTTTCTAGTGCTGCAGAGCCACATTCATGTTTGAGTAATCTACATGTGAATAATAAAGTAGCCTTCAAGGTTTATGTATTTTCCCTTCATGGGCGATGTTATTAATAGCCTCATCTTTCTTTCCGCCTTAAATACAAGATGAAATATTTTGACAAGTCCTGAGCAGAGGGAGAGAGGTCCAGGCCACATAAACATTTGTTTTAATTAATCATTTGATTGTGAATTAAAGATAGCTTTACATCCCACTGGCCTTTCTCTGCTGCTCTGACATCACCTTGAGTCAAAAAGTCTGCAATTACTCCTGTAAGTCACATCTGTATCTATTTAGGGAAAATCTTTACAGAGATAAATTATTTTTGAGCAATGAAGGATGAATCTCTTGTGTTTTCTTTGACCTTGTGAGCAGACTACAAAAAGTGGAGCAATCGATCGCTCCCCTCTGAAGATACCACAATATTGTATTATGGAATGAACAGTGGAGAGAAAGAGAGAGAGAGAGGAAAAAAAAAATAGAAGTCAAGCCAGATGAACAGCTGTATTGAGATAAACCGTCACCCCATATGCTGAGGGAAAACAATCTCTGCACATTATGGAGACTGAAGATGAAAAAAATACGCTTAATCAACTAACATTGATATTACTTCTGGCAATTAGGAGCATGCTGGTAATGATATGAGTTTTCAGCTGTAAATAATTATGCTGCCTGCAGGCCATGCTTTAATTCTCGGCTGTATCTATAAACAATAATCAAACCAACAGCAGCAGGCTAAAAGTTGGAGATTTGTGGTTTGCAGAGCAGCGGTTGAGGAGCAGCTTATTGGAGCCCTGTGGTGATGCCAGTAGTCAGGGTCACCTTCAGGTGCTCTCTCATCTGTACACCAGCGTGCTAATGCACACTTCTATTGATCAGCCTGGATGTGTCCACACAACACACACACACACACACACTCACACACACACACTCACACACACACACACACGCAGGTGCACACAAAGCACTCCGATATGAGCTCACATATGAACATGAACGCATACTTAATTACACTTACACATACTGTGAGCATACACATAGCATTTTTATCCATCCACGAATTGCACAGAAATGCTTAACATATATACACTTTGCACCAAATGAGTGCCATAAATGTGCAAGAAGAGACAGAGGATTTAAACCCTAAAAACATGGAAATCTGTATTATTTATGACAATGTGGTTTAGTGTTTATGGATTGTTTATTGATTCATTAAATGTGAATATCAGATATTGCATTTGGAATACGATCTGTTAAGCTTAGACAAATGCAGAATTTGGTTACATTGCAAGTTATATGTATATGTAAATATTAAAATAATTTAACTTAATCACTTTGATATAAATCATTTTTTGCATCTCATCAGTGGAAATGCTTGTTTGTTTCACTGCTGCTATAATCTATACAATTTTAAAAGAGTAAAGAAAGTTTTAAAAAAAACAAACAGAAAAAACATCTCATACAAGAGTGAGACTTGACAGCCAACTTTTACTCACTGTCAAACAGGAAGCGACAACCTGCTGATGTGTAAGGACAAAGATGAAGTGCATAATTAAAGAAACATATGAAAGCCTGCACTGGGCCTGAGATTAATTAGGTGTGTGTCAATACCCTCATCAATATCCGATTAACTAATGACACATGGCCCAATAAGGGCTATTGATCTTCTCCAAGTATGCAGTGTTAATAGGTTGGAAGCCGACACTCAGTTGGAAAGCTGACAGAAAACTGTGCGGGCAGCGTGTAGGACGTGGGGGCCCCAAACACAGCAAAATCAGAAATGTCCCCTCAGTCATACGCAATCATATCACAGTCATGTAATGTGGTCTCATGGGATTCCAGTGATTGCTGTGACCACAACTGAACTTATTCAGCTTTTGCTACAATTCCCATCCTTTTAGTGATAATTAAAAATGACCCAAAGGATCCTCCTCCCCAAAAAGGAGGGGAAAAAAAAAAAAAAAAGACTCAATCTAGATTAATGGTGGCGAAATGGCCAACATCATAAGTTAGCCCCTTTATGATAATGATTGTAATGATAATAATGAACACTTGGATGAAGGATGAACAATCCCCTGTCCTGGAGTTGAATCCCTATACAGGTTAATTAGGTAAGATAACATCATTAGCCACTCTCATGCCTGCACAGAGAATTAATTGGATAAAATGGAGATTTAGGTCTATATTTAATCGCACAAACGATCAATGACAGCTTAGCCAGAAAATAGGAGGTCCAAATCGGTGGGCATCTTATTTAGATTACATTTAACCAGTTTAATGAGCAAAAAATATCCCATTGGTTCGTAATATAGGTTCTGTAGAGCATCCTTTGTATAATGTACATTAATGATGCATTGTTGTGCCTTGTTAACTTCTGATTGTTTTCTGCTTTGTTTGCTAATCAAAGAGAGGTTTTAACGAGGGTCACACTAAGCGTTCACAGCAGCTATCATAAACTTTAGATAAAACAAAACATCCACTGCAAAGTCACTAAACAAATGAGGGTTATTCATTGCTGATACATATGAGCAATCTCTCTTCCTCAGTTGAAAAGGCCACCAATGGCCTGATGACTTCGCCGTCATAAATAAAGCACCGTGTGACTGTTTGTTCTCAGGGAAGCATTAGCTGTATAGTTCATGATCTGTTTTAAGGGGACATTAGCGTTAATATGCGTTATGTCAGACGTGAATGGACCAATCCGCTGGGCATTTTCTACCTATTCTTCACAGCAGCTGTAAAGCTTATTTGGTTGTCTTTGCCTGAGAAATACGTTTGTCTGCAGTTCCCTCTAAATAATGCATGAGCGGAACTTTTGTGTGAATTGTCATATATTATATAATGGATGTTTACCGAGCAGCACGGGTACTTCAACTTCAGTTTGGGAGGTGGGGTGGTTCCCAGTAATCGACACAGAGATGACAAAGCGAGCTGTTTTACTTGTAATATCTCTGTTCTGCTGAAACAATAAGTGAACATCTCTTTGAAGAAGCGCCATGCCACACACCCCATTAATAATTCAACATCGTTGAATCGCTGAAAACACAAACAGTGATGCCATCTGGTAGATGGGACGATCACACAGATGAAACTTTATCTTGACAACTTAACAGTTACAGTTAGTGCGCACAGCTCCTATTTTTATGTTTTTTTTCCTGTCTTTAGCTTAATTTAACTTAATAAAAAAACATGCATCTAGCAGATCTAAATGATGTATTTCAAATGTGTATAATTTAATTAAGACTGTTCTTTTTGTTCCTGGCAGTGAAAGTGAACATGAGGAGGTCATCTGACACCATGTGTGTTGTTAGGAGCTGCGTCATTATCACCTTGACGACTGAGGTGTAGCTGACCATGAAGAGGGCGAATTCGGGCTTCATAAGGTAACATACCTCTTTATCCTTAGCTATAACAATATGTATGTATACAGTTACCAGTATACTGTGCTAGTTATTTGGAACAGATCTGGTTATTATTCCATTTGGATCAAATTACATACTTTAGCGTTATTAGAAAGGTATTACCTGTTTGCAGTTTACCTGAGCAAGAGCAAAATGACAACAGCCATGATTCTCATAAATAAAATGTAACAGACTTGCAAAGACTCACCTAACTACACTCCACTGTTGTTCACTTTAAAGTGCACCTTTAGTACACTTTAAAGCGCAAAGAGGACCTTTAGAGTAAATATGCATGCAAAATGTCTCCATTGCCCAGTCAAGAAGAAAGACTCTGCCCTTTTTCTACCGTTATTGTCAGCTGTGTGAACTCCGTGTCTTGAGGGAGACCGGCTGTTGTCAAACAATAAGAAAAGGCCTCTGTCCACAAGCAAATAAAATATTCTTTCGTGCACGATGCCCTGTCCCTCTGTGACTATCGAATTACATCCCTGATCCGTGTTCGCGGACAAAGAAAAAGAATGTCAAGCGAAGATTTCAGGTTTGCACCGTGCCACAGAAAAAAGGGGAAGTGCCTCGTGCAGCGCAACACAGATCCCACTGTCATCCTGGATTAGGGGTTGATTGAGTTTAGCCAAGTAGATGACAGAGGAGATGGTCATTCTCAGGGCAAGAGAGGGAGATGGAAAAAAGGTTGCAGGTCAAATATAGTGTCAAGTCATTTAATTGTGATGATTAAACAGTCAGTCATTATTTGTAGACTTCAATAATCATAAATAACAACTTCCTTCTTTTTTTATACTCATTGGGTAATTCATGCAGTCTCTACAAAGCTGAATGCTAAAAAAGTTTGGGGAATTTTACGGGTCTGACAGAAAACCTTAAAATGCTAGTTTGTACAGGAAAGGTCTAGAAAAAAGTCACGAAGAAGAATCTTTAAAAAGCTTAAATATTTCAGCTCTGGAATTCAATTGACAGCAGTGTTGTCTTTTTAAACTCTGACCAGAGCTGCTTATTCCAGGCATACTGCTTTGATTAAATGGGGGAAACAGTTTTGTGCTGTGCAGGTCAAAAACAAATATATTTGCTGGAAACCCTAATTTAGCTACACGCTGGCTGGTGTCGACTGCGCATGTTTGCATGGGTGCATTGTTCAGTAAGCACATAAGATAATCAAACGCAGCAGTGAACTCATGTCTCTTTGGATTGATAGTGACTCAAGTCGAGCATGTACATTGCATTCTGTAGGACTTTGGAGGCTTGCTTTGCATAGTAGTGTAAAATATTCGCATGTGGCTTTTGACACAAAACATGAACGTCAAGCAGAAAAGTGAGTCAGTCATTTATGTGGTTTACAAAAGTGTTGGCAATTTCATTGGTTAAGGAGTCAGTGTTTGGCAGGAGGCGTGCAGTTTTAACAACTAATGGACTTATTTTTCTCACAGCATCGCAATTTTACAGCCTGTGTAAAACACACATGCACACACATTTCTTTTAGTAACCCAGAAATATAGTTGCGCAAATTAAAAACAGGAATGTTAGGGTGTCTTTAATTCAATAAAATACACATGTAAAGGAAATGCTACAAAGTACCTCTTTATCTAAAAGTATTATCCTTCTTCTGGTGATAAGCGCCATTGGACACAAATAGACACAGCTGGAAATATAGCTAAAGAGTTTTACTCTCCACAGTTGTTTACACAATCAAGTTTTTTTGTGGGCCGTGATAAGGTGCCTGGATATCCTGTGGTCTTTGCCTAGTTAATGTGTACGGACCGCACACTGGCTCTGCTTTCACTGAGTTATTACGTCGAGTGTAATTTGAAACAATTACAAAAACACTGGCCCACTTGTTACAACACTCATTTTCCCTCACATATACAAACCACAGATTCAATAGCTTTACATGTTTTTCAATCACACCCAGTGGAGCAGTGTTCAGTGTGAAAAAGTATAGCATTTCATCCTAGCTCGCATGGTATGGGATAATCTTTCACATTTTGCCTGGGGTTTGTTTTGCTATTTCAGCAGAAACTTGTGCAAGCCATGTGAATTACCATAGGAAAAGACGATAAAAATACCAAATGATATTGTATCAGATGTAAATGAATAAACTATTTGAATAATCAGGGCAAATAATTTGTTATCTGTGATAATAAATGGTGTTTATTGTCCTGTATTCTCTGAGATGCATTGCAGAGATAACAGCTTTAAACACATAAGCAGGAGAGAGATACTGTAACGCTGCCTGGAATGAGGGATTTTGGCCTTCACAATAAGCTATTAAAAGCAATTTTCAGCTCTAATCATATCAGCAAACTTTGAATTAAAAGGCGAATGTAAAGTTTTAGGACAGGTCAGTAGCAGATTGTGCTCATGTGCAGCTCGGATTCTAGGGAGCCACGACTTATCTTATTTGTTTTGACACATTTCTCACAGTTTTTTTTCACACATTCTGTTTTGCAGGCCCTGCCATTGTTCAGAGATCAGGGTCAACCAGTGATGATCTTTTGCAGTTTGTGGAGATGGACACCTTTGGCAGTGTGAGTACAGTTTCACTTCTGGCCCTCATAACAGTGTAGCTGAGCACAAGGAGGTCAGGCCTTGTACCTCCATCTCCCTCTCTCTCTGAAGGTGCTGGTGCAGCCTGACCATTGACATTTAGCATTCCTCTGCGCTGCCTCTGGGTTCTCAATGGGGGATTGAGGGGGTGCAGAGGCCAGTGCCTGGTTCTCAAGGGTAAAAACAAAAAGGCTCTTGAAAATCCCAAGGAGTTCCCATGATCCTCGGAAAGACCTTGATCCGACCTGTGTTAGATTTCCATTCCATGGATTAGGGCACACAAAAAGTACATATTTGGCTGATTTATTTTGTCTCCTGCCTTGGATTTTGGACAGTGAATTGCAATGTCTTGCTAACTGGCATTAACACATTTGCCATGGTGATTTGGCAAAAATAAGAATTTGCAGATACTCGACACTTTGTGTTTTTATAATCATTTAGCATTCATTGCCTTCACTGACATTTCGAAGTCAGTGCAAACGCTTGTAGTGACATTTTATGGTGGAAAGTTTTCAAAGTCATTTTTCAAGGTTTTTTTCCAGTAACATACATAATCTGTTAGCATCAAAGGAGCACACATGCATAAATAATTGACTAATTCACTTAAAGGGGGCCAGCGTAGATTAATTAAGCTTGAATACTAATTATGTTTTCTGTCTACACTAACTGACGCGGTTGTTGTTTAGAAGAAACTGTTTGGTGGGTCACAATTACCGTGCACGTATAAGGCTGCTCTATAAATTAAGATGGTTTCACATTTTAGGGGCGGCTTTGCATGCCTTTAAAACAAAATGCTAATGTTATCTTTAGTGATTTAAATAAAGATGCTTTGTAGATTTTTTCATTATTCTTATGACATTTTACTGATAGCCATTTTCATTATGTTGATAGATACAAAGAGACTTCCTAAACATAAAAAAGCTCAACTTTCATGCCTTTATTGATTTGGCAAGGCATTCAGAGTCATCTTTCTCACACCTGTGTATCATTTTATTGCACCCCATTACGATGTATATATACACACATATATTTATATTAATGTCAGGTTATTTTATTTGCTTGCCAATATGTGGATCATTCCCTCACATTCAAATGGCACTAAAGACCGTAGAAAACAGAATAACCTGAAAACAAACACAATCCTGGAATTTTTAAGTGCAGGTCAGAACTCAAGGAAGAAACAGACCACATGCACACATCTTTGTAAAGCTTTAAAAACTCTTGTCATTTCCAGAAACACTCCTGTCCATGACTCCCATGCCTATAGTGCACAGGGTGCTTGTCTGGAAGTAGCTCAGTGAAGACGAGGATTTGCTGTCTACTCTCCCCTGGCAAGCAGCGCACACAGGGACAGAGGAAGACAGCTTAAAGCTGGGGCCTTGTTTACAGCTGTGTGGGGAAGAAAACAGGCAGACGTAAATGAGGGTTGACGGTTTCATGAAGCACAATTGGTTGATGGCAGATTCAATGTGACTGGGCTGAACTGGGCGATGATCCGTACAGTATGCAAAATTCACTTTCTAGCTGGTCTGTGCCCACCAGCCCCTAGCAGCGAGCGGTCTTCCCCAAGCCCTTCTAGCTATGCCTTTGAATGCAACAAGAACTGAACAAGGCATTGTTGTGCTCAATTCCTTTTGACAACAATCACATTTAAAATGAAAGAAAGGGAAAAAGAAAAAGTCATGTATTTTTTTGTCACCAGTTCTAAATGATTTTTTTCCCATGTTGACTGCAGAGTAAGCATTTTGTGTGCTTCACAGTGAAATGAGGAGGAGTGGGTGGATTTAAGGGGGCATGTGGAGATGCCTTCAGATGACATGAGAATGAAGTCAGAGGCTATTGCATTGTCCTGCTTTATGTATGTCTGTTGTAATAGATCCAAAATTCTTGGCACGTGACTTCGGTGCAGGACCATAAATTTAGCATATTTATGTGCAACGTTATGAGAAAATTAAAAGAAAATGTAGCCTGCACTGGGCAGCTTTACACTGCTGCTGTCACACAGTGTACCAAACAGTCATTTCTGCCTCTAAACATCCAGTTTGTTTCATGAACCTCTATGACACTTTTTTTCCTCAAGATTAAATTGTTGTTATCGTTTTAGAAGTGCAACATCTGCATGTTCCATCCAGTTATGGCGCATTAAACAACAGTCCTTGTGTGGATTGAGGATGCTGTCAATGTCAGTGGGGTCTCGGGAACGTGTTTAGAACCAAGCATTTTTCTTAGCTCTCTAGGCAGAGAGGCTCACATGGCAGTGTGTGTGAATTAGATTCTTAGTGACAATGACCCAAAGCTGTAAGCCTGCGGTGTGTGTACTGTAACTCCTGTCTTCTTTTCCTTGTGTGTTTGCTAGGGCTATTTATACTTGGAAAAATGCATTCATAGCAATCAGGGTACTTATTGACATTTGCAGGATATGGAGCTAATTCACTTTGCATAGTGAGAAACACCGACACTTTCAGAGACGAATGCAAAACTGACAGATTTCAAAATTGCACAAGGGTCAAAACGAAAAGAAAAACAAAAAAAACATTACAGAACTTTTAAAGAAACAGAGTCCCATGTAAGATGCTTAAACTGTTATTACTCATGTTACACTGCAGTGTCTGTATTATGTGCATGCATTAAAGACAGCTATACATTATGACTAGATAATAGGTCTCGATAATTCTGTAGAGCAATTAGTGAGATAAACAAAATGAATTTGTTTAGCCTAAGATAAAACTTAATGGGATTTCTCCTTTGATGTTCCTACATCTGTCCAAAGTGCCTGTAATTCTAAAGGCAGCGACACTGATTTGGGAAACAAAAATACGTTGTCCTTCTGCATTGTTCTAACTTAATGAAGCAAAAATATTTATTTCCACATTATGCATTGCTAAATGACTGAACAACATTGTTATACTATCAAGTAAAAATATAATTTACAGCAGAGGGATATTATTACAAATTTAGTCATTAGGATTTGCAGAATAGGCTGTTAGCTTTCAATAACGCTCTAAATTTTAATAACATATAATGAATGTAAATGCCATGTAGCTTATTTAAACGACTGCTTTAGTTTACAAGACAATATTGTTTAAGTGTCCTAGTGTAATACAAAGCAAATGACGTTTTTTTTTTTTTATTAGCAAAATTGTCAGATTAATCTTCTCATAATTGTTACAGAGAGTTTCATAATCTACACATGCACCCAAACAATATTGCAGTTTTGTAGAAAGTTGTGGAAAGTGTTTAATGAAGCTAAAAAAGAAAAAGGAAGGGCATAAGAAAAACACAGGGAGACAATCACCACCAATGCCAAATTTGTCTCTCATCTTTGGTACTACACAGTATGTACAACTCAGAGAAAATGATTGGTACCCAGTCGAAAAGAAAATGGTTTTTAAATAAGTTACAATTAGATAAGCATTAATCTCAGTGGTATAAATGAATGTCTTGCTGTAGGGCTTGTTGAATGTAAAAACAGATTTACAAAAACTCCTCTTACCAGATTGGTCTGGAAGTAGTCCTCCGCTATTTTAATTGCTCTGTCATTTAGAGTTGAAATAAGCCCCCCCACCCATTCTGCCCCCTTGATTTTTGCCTTTGAAATTAAATATTGTATACAAATACATGCTGTTCATGGGCATGAGCACAGTTCATCACCGAAATCTGCATAAAATGATGCTTAAAAAGCTCCATACGCTTTGAGCAACGAAGCTCTTTTATATGGTGCATTCTTATGTAAACATATCAATAACAAAAACAACTACTTATGCCTTTTACCTCAGCTTTCTTATTGTTCTTGCTTGTCCACAGAAATGAGAGAAATGTGGGAGTGCAGAGTTTGTTCCACATAGTCTTGATTTCAAAGAAAACCCATAGTTGCTTCTTTACATTCCTTTTTCTTTTTCTTTCCATTTCATGCAAGTAAAGACCACCTACAAGCCCAGTCAAAATAGTGTTGACTTTGCATGCTTATAGATACATACACACACATGTATGTTTATAGATAGATATATTCTAGATGTGCTGCACTGCAATATATTTGTATTTTTAACGTCTTTGCGCTTAAATCGTGTATGAAAAGTCTCCAGGCTTTACTAAATACAAGGGACCTGGCGTGGTGTTATTAAATACAATTTTTCTCTCTCCTTCGAGACTTTTTAGGTTGAGCTCATGTGAATGGAAGTAATGAGAAGTGTGCTGGGATTTCCATACTCATTTGCACACCGCGTCTGTGTACTCTCCTGCAGCTTGTGCAAAAATACATAATTTTCCAGGAGAGAGTGTTGTTGCCCATTCATTTTAGAAACAAGGAGGAAGTATTTTAATGTGACCTTCATTACACATTCATGTCAACTTTTCTTATCTATTTATGATTAAATTCTTTTCCACTCCTGTTGTTCAATTAGTGCTTGACCTCTTTAGCGGCGATGTAAATTAAATGACATTTCAGTGTCGTCCCATATTTAAAATACTGCGTTAGTTGCGGATCATAAATGATGATCTTCATTCTGCAGCTAATTTATTCATTTAACAATTTCCCTCCAGAAGTTACAGCAGAAGGCTCTGCAGCAACCTAAGCAGAAGAAATCCAAGTCGGCTGAATTTCTGATGGGTGAGTCCTGCTTGATGAGTTATTGCTCATAATTTGTGTAAGGATTAATTAACTAATTACAGACAAATGGCTTTGGGCTAAATTTTGCTCTTGCTTGTCAGGGCGCAATTTGTAATTATTTTAATCATTTCTTCTTCTTCTCTTTTTTTCTCCTCCTCCTGCAAGATTCTGATTTAATTTTAACCTAATTGTGTTTTAGTATCATTCGAGGAGGATGCGCTTAAACATTTTGGGGCAGAGAAATCACCAATAGAATTTTGTTGTTCAAAAATATGCTTTGTTTTTTTTTTGTTTTTTTTAATGAATCACTTTGACCTAACTGTTTTGTGTTGGTTCTTCATGTCGCTGTGTCTTTTCATTTATGTTTCTGCTTATTTTGTCAGGGAGAGAAGAGAGAGCTACTGTGGTGGGCATAGAAAACCCAGCCTTCGATGAAGGAAGAAGCACCGAGCTTTCCATTCCTTCGGTTTGGCTGGGGAGAGAAATTCGAGGTGACAGGCCAGATAGCACCCTTGCAGCTCACCAAAAAAAAATGGAGCTGCAAGCCCCTGCCAAAGAAAGAGGTGAAGCTTCATTCTTCATTAGCCTCAAATTTGTTGACAGTAGATGTGTTCCTGATCTAACCTTTCTCTCACTCCCTCTTTCCTTCTCTCTCTCTCTCTCCATTTGGGGGGCCCTTGGTCCCTGCATTCCAAAGCAAGCTTGTCCTAACAAGCAACCCTCGTATAACTTCTTCCTCCGCTGGAGAACGCTACAGTAGTGGGTGTTCTATCTCTATCTAGAAGTACCCTCGACACAATCAGCCTTGACTCCCACTCTCGGCTACATGCCTTGTGGTGGGCTGGAGTCATGGGAGAGTGCATTTACATACGCTACTACGCTACCAAGCCGATCCGCTGTCTGTGTGGTGTACTCACAACGCCCCCGAAACACGGCTTAAGGCCAATCAGGCATACAAATATGCCCCCTTATAATTCAGTATGTCAGGGAGAACTCTTGAGGAATGGGATGGTAAATTAGGATGCGTTCGAGGTTGTGAGCGTGCCAGTTTTCTCAGGGATGAGTCACATGTTAGATTCTTGATTTAATGTGGTTTATTTTGCTTTTGCTGTGTATGGCTAGTAATTATTATCAATATTGTCATGATTTTTTTTTTTAATGCACAAGAGGTAGAATTACACTTGTGAGAAAAATAATTAATTTAAAGTGAAAGAGCATTCATCTTTCTCTTTGTCTTTCACCCTCATGTCATGTGTATTTTGGTGTGAATTAAAGACACAAAGTGTCTAGTTTGAAGATATATGAGTAATGTCAGATTACAAATTTCTCTGCAGTCTCTCTTTCTTTTGATCATGTCCCAGATGAAAGACTGGGGAGATGTTTTGACTACCCGTAAGTAACATTGGAACTGGACGAGGGGATCCGTTGTTGTTATGTTTACTGAGAAGAAATTACATTGCTTACTGCTTTATATAGACTGTCAATAAGTTAACCGTTTTCTGGTTGTGTTTACATTGTGGAAAGTGAACAGTGAACTGCATTAAGTACAATTCTGTTCATATATTTTGGGGGCATTTTGAATTACTGGTAATGCCCATTGTTACATGGCACGTTATTGTTATGTCTGTATGTGTGTATATATATGTAAATACATGTATATAATATAAATATATGTATATAATTAGCATAGCACACACAAGCATTACACAAAGAAGCTGTAAATCATTAAGCATCTTTGATGTTCAGTGAGTGTGATTACGCATACCAGCTCTATGACTTGCGTGCCTTCATTGGAGGATCCAAAAGCAGATTGTTCCATGTTTGTGACACTTTGGCCTTTGCCAGAATCTTTCATTATCTCTCAGTCTCTGTTAACAGTATCTCTGGCAGCCAAGAAGTGCTAGTTACTGATATTGTGCATGTAAGAACAGATAATTGAAATTTTCATTAGAGAGATGAATTGGAGGGCAGCCAGACTATTTAGGTAAATCACAGCTATGATTCAAAAGGCGATTCACGAAGCTACTACCATTATGCAAATTTGTATTTGAAAAAAGGGTTTCATAACCTCAGAGCTATTTGCGGAGAAATTGTTCAAACTCTCTGTTAACAATGTAGAGGGATTTAACATGTGAATTTCACAGTCAATTTATGGCGCCATTGAAGAGTCATACGGCTGCTCCCCGTTTAATAAGTATTTCAGTCTGAGTGTTTGACTTAGAGTATGGACAGAGTGTGAAAACCTCATGCAGATATTTCACACGAACACGGAAGAATCCCTGTGAACTTTTTGGGTAGTAGCCTAGTGGGCCAGTGGTAGTCCTATGCAAACACACTTACTCACATTTTTATGCATCCAAGTGTCGATACCCTCAGACGTCTATAAAGGCAGTCCTTGTGTGGAATATATAACAAGATTTAATGCACCATGCATTTTTTTGCCCCACAACCTGAGAAATACAAGTAAAGCAATTTAGATTGGAGTGAAATATTCAAGGCTTGTAATGAGAATGATTTGGGGTTAAGAAAGCTGCTTGGTGGGGTGTACCCTTAATAGAAAGAGCCCCGGAGCCATTCGATTCCCATAAACTCTGTGGAGCAGACTTGATACCCATAGGTCAGTGATTGCTAATAAGAAGTCAATGAGACATGGGCTCAGGTTATTTTCCTTTGGATCTGCTCCTCCAAACTTGCCTGGTCCTTTAGGCCGCTGACCTCAGAGTATTTAGAAGGTATTGTCTTTGAAATTCCAGGTACTTTTGGGCTTGTAGACTTTCTCATTAGTTCCTTTTGAACACGGCAAACATATGGCAGTCGTATTTAAGAGATTGCCTGCCGTGACCTTTTGCAGCATGCTAATTAGGCCCCAGAGCACCGCGGGCCGTGGTGAGGTGCACTGAGAAGCCCAGCAGTCTCTTTCCCAGTTCTCCCTCTCTGCCTCTGAACTCATGTCTCATCTTGGCTCTGCCTTATCTGGTAGCAGCCGCTGCCACTGCCCTTCGACTGTGTGGGTTTCAAAATTAACATTTTGCTTCATGTGCTTCTAATAACCACTAACCTGAACCTGTACAACTCCCCTCTCCCTTCCACTAACCCCCTACCCCCCACCCCCACTATCAACTCTCAGCCCCTCTTCCTCTCATTCACTCTCCCCTCGCACTTTCCACAGGAAATGAGCGCGCCCAAAATTACTTTGACCCGACGTCGGCAGAGCAGACAGACCCAAGGCATTGCGGGATGGCTGGGGTCAGCGCTGAAGATGAGCTGGAATTAAGTATGCCATTCTCTGTCATAATGGTTCTCCTCGGTTCATTAAAGAGGGGTGAGAGAGATCACTGGTAGCAGGCCGCCATTTGTGATGGCAGGACAGTCTATGTAAATACACCAAGTGATGGCATCACTAGATTGGCTACCCAACTCGTTGTCATTGATGAAGGTCACGTATCATTGGTCAGTTTTCATTCCACCGTGGCGTTTTCTCTCCCTTGTCAAATAGCCATATCAATAGTTTGCAGCCCCCTCCTAAAGTAGGCCTATTAAAAGCGAGCTCTTGGGAGCCAAGTAATATGCATGTTATAATGAAACCTGGCTATTAATGGAGAAGCTATTTCACCTGTATCTTTTGGATATTACTGCCGTGTAATATCAAAGGATTCACCAAATCAAATCTCATCACATGATGACAGGCCGGCTAACAGGCACGTTAATGCTCCTATTTCATTACCCCTCTACATACACTTGATTTTCACCCTTTTCCAGCCAAGGCTAATATCGCTGGTTTGCATGTTAAGATGTTGTTTAGATTGACTTGTCTGATAAGTAGAAAGTAATTCTGAGGCACACAAATGCATGTCATTTTTAACAGTGTATCCAATTTATAATTGTTTTGATTTATAGCAATATTGAATTCTGATGAAAACAGACTGTATGAAAGGATGGCTGCACTGCTGGATGAGGATGATACCTTCATAGACATACCAGGTATGTATCTCCACATTACTGTACTCTTGTAAGCACATACACAAATTTGACAACTTTAGATTTAGTCAGTTTCTTACATTGCATCAGTTAAATTAGAAATTTAGTCCATTGGGATCACTATTCAATTGACAAGTCCTGATGCTACTTCCCTGTCCAGGTCATTCTGTAGCTGCTGGTTAATGTTGTGAAAGTTTAGTAGCACACATTAAGTTTATACACTTTAGAATATGTGTGTTTTAATTTGCATAGTGATCTATCTATAGAAACTTTGTTTAAATTTAGAAAGCCAAAGGAAATACAAAAATTTCCACTGAGTACCACAGTCTTTAGATTCAGTAAAGCTCAGTGATATCACAAACAAGCCAGACAAAAATAAGATGCTACATTTTCCACTAACACTGAATGCAGCAATGCAATAGAACAAAGAATAAACTCGAAATGGACCCTCACTAGTAGTCAGTGCTTTCCAAGCACAGCCATTGTCTCACAGTAGGCGTGTCTTTTCTCATTAGCTCAGTTTCATTTAAATATGTAGCCATCCAAGCAACATTGAGATGCTTTAAGCTTAGCATTGTTCTGGGTGAAGACAGTCGTACCAGATCCTGTTGACATGACGCACATCTTCCCTGTAATTCCAGCGCACAAGTGATGGGTTTAGGCCCGCTTCAACGTGGTAGAATTTAGCTGGCTCGTATTATTTGCCATTGTTCTGGATTTAGCTGTACCACTGAGATTAGCAGCCCCTTCCATTGTCTTGGAATGTTCATGAAATCCCACAGAGAAAGTAAAGAGGATCTTGGATTAACAGTTGCTCCATGCAATAGGCTGAGAGACAGAGAAGGAAGGAAGCAGAGACAGGAAAAGAGAGAGCGCTTGTACTTGGAGTCCAACAGTGGCGACTGCCAGTTAGCACTTCACTGAGCTACAATAGACTTCAAGACAATCACCTTATGCAGTTGTATAGATGCCTCCCACCGGTGTAGGCTGCAAGTCGTCTCTGCAGCTGTAGAACCGGCTCGGAGTATATCACCACTGATCCTGACATTTTGTGACTGCTTCTCAGGGTTTTGTTTTTGCTTTTACAGCCTGCCACAAAGCACTATACACATTTCACAAGAGAAAGCATGAATAAGACAAGGTATTAATGAAATGGACAGTGGCCAGTGCTGTAGATGTGTTTTATTTTTTCAGAAAAAAAAATTCCTGGAAAATCCCTGTCTGTCTGTATAAGATCTTCAGTTATTCCTTTTTATCTTGATAAATTCCTTTGCTTTGGCGTGCAGATGAAAGACCACTAAACTGGCATTCTATTCATTCTAGTTTTCTGTAAGGCTTTAGGCATTGATATCAGCCTCTATATGAAAAGCATTAGGCAGTGATAACAGCTTTGGCTTTTACATCATATTGGACTGCACACGTTGAATACGCAGATTCTCAAAGAAAACCTCATGCTTTCAACCAATGGCAGTACAGTGGAACTGAAAAGACACACGGAGAGCATGTTAGCTACTGTAGATGGTGCTTTTCTGCATTCAGTAATGAATTCTAGGTTACTAACTTGAAACAACTTCACATACTGTGTGTGTGGGCATGTCTGTAATGTGTTTGTAGTAGAGCAACATGCATAAATATGTTATATGTTCTGTCAATTGCTTCCATAGAAACACTTTAGAAATGTGTATTCTGTTTGGCAGCATATATATGGTGAAAAAATATTCAGAATATCGAACATTCACCCTTAAGCTACATTTGCTGAAAAAATATTTATGTCATTATAAAATTACGGGGTGGATTTTGTGTAATTTTGAGACAGTTATTGGTAAGAGACGTTTCCAGTTAAAAAAAAAAACAACAAAAACAACACAGATTTTTCCCAAATAAACAACCCTGATCCTTCCTAATGCGGTCCTTACAGAAAGTCTCAGTTTAGAATATTCTCTGGTCAAGTGTGTGTGTGTGAGTGTGTGTGTGTGTGTGTGTGTGTGTGTGTGTGTGTGTAAATATGATACTGTGCTTTTGTGTGCGCAGCACTTTCCGTACATCACTGTCCACTTTCATAATGTCTGCATAAACACACACATCTCTGTCAGTATGTGTCTGTTTCTGGATGTGTTAAGTATGCTCATCCATCAGTATGTGAATGCATGTGCGGATGTTTATGAGTGCAGATTCATTTCTGTGTGTGTGTGTGTTTGGCTGTGCGTGTGTGTGTATCTGTGCATGCCCACTGATGCGTATCTCTGCAGGTACGCTGCAAGCCTCCAGGGATGAGGAGGTGTTGGAGGTGAAGGCGGGTGATCTGGTGCTTCAGCGGCGACTGCTGCTCCACAGTGGTGGTGATGCCTCGGGCTCCAGGCCCTCCCAGGCCCGTACCATTGCCAAAACCCAGGCTGAGGGGAGTGCTGGGCAGGGAGGAGAGGCTGGACTCGAAGCAGGGAGGATGGTAATGGGCAGAGAAAGCGCTGTAAAAAGTAATGCTATTCTTTCACTTGTTTTGACATTTGATTTCTTATGAAGACAGCCAATATGCTAGTATATTGTTATTGTAACAAAATGACACTATACTCTGTTACACATGCAATATAATAGAACAAAATGTATGATTGGTAGTAGAAAATGTATTTTCTTGGTGGATAAAACTATTAAATCAGTGTTAAAGCTACAGAGAAATCATGTTGAGACAATATTTTAATGCCACAGATTCTATTAGCGGATGGACCCAATATACATGACATAATATTAAAAGAATAATGCTGCAGGAACAATATATATTTTTTTTTTCAATATTGTAAGATTTTTGACGCCAGAGTATTATTTCTTGCAGTGAAGACAGCTGAGGAGGTGATCCCCCACTACGCCCAGCAGCTGAGGGAGCGTGTGCGGCCTGACATGATCACGCTTGGCAGCCTTTCACTGCAGCAGGTCAGGGCTACAAAGAGGAATATCTGTGTCATCATCCCATATTCACCAGCACATCAGCCATGTCCATTATGCTGTGTATCAGTGGCTGGGATAATGGACATGGAGTGTGTGCATGTGTGCACATACGTGTGTCTGTTTTTTTGTCTGTTCACATGCCTGTTTGTATTCTCTATGTGTGACTTACTCGGCTTACTAATTTTCTTTCTCTTTCTTGCCATGTTTGCTTCCTTTCTCTGTTTTTCCAAACCTTTTATATCTCATCCTCTACCTTTATGAAAATTTTGCATCTCATTTTTATGCCTGAATCTCTATTGAATGCACTCGTGTGAAATTTCTTATTGTACGACATGCATTCAAGGTATTTCAGAGGTTAGCTTACTCATTCATCCTCAGCTCAAAATTAGTGCATGGATTTAAACTCCATATTCTATGCCATATATGACACGCTCACACAATTAATTTATTTATGGAGAATGTTTTATTCTGCCTTTCAACTTTGTTGTGCATTATTATGCATATTTGTTTCCGACAGAAGCTGAATTTCCTTGGTTCTTTACCCATCTTACGGTCTTTTCAGAAAAAAATAGAGCATGACTACATTTTTCTTTCCCAACTGGGGAGTAGGGATTTTGTGAACTAGCATTAAGATCTGAGGCCTCTTTCAAAACAAGTGTTTGTATTCCAACAGTCAGGAGAGAAATGGGAGTGGATACAAGAACATCGAGTTTCCATTGTGTTTGCAAATCTAGATCGCGGAGAAACACAAACATTAACGCGTGTGTAAACAGAACGCAGAACTTCTATCCACTGTATTTTTAGTACTAATCTCATTTGAAAAGAGAATGGGAGTACCACATTACATGAATAGAGAGTATATGTAATTGGGGGCAAAAAAATGTTTAACAATGTCTCACTGTCACTTGGAAAGCACAGCAACAGTTGACTCATCTTCCCATACTGGATAATCATTGGCATCTACTGTGTACTGTATCAGTACTGGGATCAGCCTTATCTTATTCTACCATAATATGTATGCGCTCTCCTACTGTTTCCACACCCACCTCCCATTGAAAGCACATTATCCACCAGAGATTTCACATCTATTTTAAAAATAATAGCGTTTTTCTTCCTTCTCTATTCTGCCATACAAAGCCTCTACAGGGCGAGACGCTGTCACTTAGCAGTGTCAATGTGTCTGAATGGGGAGTGTGAATGTGCTGACTGAATGTAAAACTGGCAGAAATACTCATCAAACGCTACATGTCTTTAGGGTCTGGCTCAGTATCGATTGCCTGCAGATTGCATTACAGTTGCTCCTTGTGCTTAATTCTGCCATTATGGTGCACTGCACTCTTTCATAAAGCTGCATCCAAAGAAAGTGTGCATGTGTATTTACAAATATTTTTAGCAAGCGGCTCAGAAGGGACCCCTGAAGAGGAGTGAGTGGGCAAAGAGAAAAAAAAGACTAATGGCCCTCTTCACTGGCAATGTTAAGGTAAAGGCCTGTGTACTGTATATACACTGTAAGAGGGATGTTCTGCTTTTTAATTATAGCTATAACCGTACTTACGGTATTAACACAGTGCGGCTTATGGGCCATTTTACAAACGGAGAACATCGACCCAATCATATTTTCTCTCACTGTATTTGTCCATAACTTAGCTGACATATTCATAATTCTTAAGCACTTAGCTTCAAAAAATCTGCCGTAACTTATTTGCAGTGATGTGGCTTAAATTAAATAAACTGTCTTTTATCTGATAAATTTAATAATGAATAGCACATTAACTATGTTTCTTAACATATCCACTTTAATATTTCAAAGCAGCCCAATTCACAAAGAGACTGCGATGAGGCGGCGAGACCACAACCCAGGCTGAACACACTGCTCCACTGGTGAGTCCAGCCCATTTCATATTTCTTTCCGTATGTAAAATTGATGTCACATGACTGTAATCATTAATTGTGTGAAAAGCATTTGTATTCCCACTGACATTCGAGGAGGCATGTAATTTATATGTCCTCTGCATGGCTTCTCCTGTCGGCAGGCATTGCATTGTGGGTAGTGTGGCTCCAGGGCACAGAAATCTGTCCATGTCATTGGGCTTGGAGGTGCATCAGTTCTTGGTCCATCCACTTTAGACAGAGATCACACATCACATCTTGTAGCGAGAGCCCTGCAGGCAATCGGCTTAGCATGTTTAAGTTTTTAGTAATTATGGACTACCACGCTGGCTGACATGATAAAATCAAGAAACTACTGTACACATCAGTATCTTGTCTTGCGTTGGGTTGTTTTATGGGTGGGTGGTAGTCGGACACCAGCCCTGTCAGATGAATGTGGTTTGGAGTTTAGCAAGATGACCTCCTCTCGACAGCCTTGAACCCTGTAAATTCCTTCTGATATCAATGGTGGGTGGCTATTAGACATGGGAGACTTTCTATGCATCACCTAGGGCTACATCTGCCTGAAATTGAATGAGAAATTATTTCACTTTTTCTCTCCCTACGCCGATGAAAATAATATAAAAAAAAGAAATTTAAAAAAGGAGCGGAGACGTGGAGCTGACTTGTGGTTTTTGTAACAAATGTGTAATTCATTTGTTTCCACTGTTTCTGATTTAATGGAGGTTGAGTAATTGCATTAGGAAGCACATTGTGCCTTGTTGTGAACTGATGAAAGCACATGTAATACTTTTGATAGGCAAACAGAGAGGAGGGAGAGAAGGGGAGAAAGGAAAGAAAGATCCAGTGCCTGCCTTTGATGCGGAGCATTTATTTGCTGAATTATCCTTCCTTTTACAAGCATCTTATCCCCAGTCACAGGCAGGCCAGGGCCCCTGTGATATTGCTTTATTTTGAGGAATTAAGAGAGGTGGCGAGGAGACAGAGCGAAGCAACCGCTTATTACATTACCACTGATAAGATTGAAAGGCAGAGAAAGGCAGGGAGAGAGAGGGAGGAGGGGGGAGAAGGAAAGACTGAGAGAGAGAGAGAGACCCGGTGGAAAGTGTTTTGTTGTGGTGTTATTAGATTGAGCTGCTGTTGGCTACAGAGTGGAACAACAGAGGGTCCAAAATGCAGGTGGCTGTTAACAGGGTTAGCCTCTTGTGTACGTGTGTGTCATATACGTGTGTGTGTGTTTGTGTACGTAGCAGCAGAAACACTGAGAGCCTGTCACTCAGAGTGCTGGGGGAAGGCCAAGAAGAAGCGATAGCCAAATACAGCCAGATGACAGAGCTCCCACAATCCTCTTCTTCAGCATCACGGCCCCTGTGGCAGGTAAGATGTGGACCGAGAAACGCACCTTCGTGGGGAATGTAAGGCATGTAAACTGAACGTGATCCTGCCCTTCATTTCTAAGAGGGTGGTGTCACACGAGAAGATCCTGAGGTGTTTACAATTAATCCAAAAAAAAGGAGGAAAAAAAAAGGCAGTGTTGTTTGTTAAGAAACAGTCAAATGATGTAATTATGTGAAATCCTGTAATGAATGGGACCTGATACAGAATGGGAAATTTATATCCCTTATTTTCTAGTTTTTCAAATTCACTCCTACTGTATGCACACATGCCTACACAGAGGCACATGCAGGTTCTATACAACGCTGAGTAAAAAGGCTTCCCTATTATGGTAACTATGAAGCCACAGTATATTTATATAATATATAAAGAATTGGTTTTCTTGCTCTGTGTGGATGGTGTCTTTGGTTTGAAGAATCTAAGTGGGAGGAAATAGGAGTCTTTGGAGATGAAAAAGGGGGGAACAGAGGGAGAGAAATGAGAACCAAGTGGGAAAGAGAGAAGGGGACTGCAGCTTTAGCGGTAGCATCACCAGCTGTGGGAGGAGTGTGCTGTTGTGTTGCATCTGGGGATGAGGCTGCCATGCCACCGTGCTGGCTTAAAGATGTAATGAATCTTCAGTCGGGGGCTTTCCTTCCAGGGTGACAACTGGCTTTGAGGAAGGTTGTAAATGCAGGGGAGATTGTGGTATAATTCCTCAGACTGGCGTTTGTGCCCCCCAGTCACCATTCGATTATCTCCCAAATTGCTGTGTTTCACTGAGATAAAGATTTTTTATGGCTTGCTGACTTGAAACAACTAGCACAGGCAGAATAGGGGGCAAAGGAGGGAGAGGGAAAGAGAGAAAGAGAGAAAGCAATGGCCAAACCTGCCACGCATAGTAATTTCCTTTGGTAAATGACAAAATCTTTGTTTATATGACATTTCCCTAAAATTACTGCAGCGAGATGAATCTGAAATATAAAATGTCACATTTGGCATGCAAAACTATGAAAATATATTTCTGTGCAAAATTCATGGAGGCATTTAATTTAGAACGTGTTTAATAACTAAGGCAGCCTGCATCAGTAATCCTGCCCGGAGGTCCCAAAAAGATTGTCATATTTATTCTCTCCTTTCTTCACCCCCCTCCTTCATTCCGAAGCCAAAAAATTTTAAGGGTAAATGTTCATTGTTAATTAAGATTTACTAATTAAAATGAAAATAATTAACGAGAAAGCTTAATCTCTGAATATTAGCCCATACTTAGAAAGAAAGGAAGTTTTTGTATGTGGCATTTCCTGTCTCTATTAAGAGTGCATTTTGTGTGATCAGTCAATGTGCGGAAAGCCCTGAAAAGATTTTCAGCGAAAGGACGGCCGCTTGCCAGCAAAACCACGGAGGATCCCTCACTGGAGCCTTTGATCTCATCTGTAGGAGTGCTGTAATGTTATGGCACTTTAGGCACAACTCAGGCTTGGGGCAAACAAACCACCTCTGATATGGAAAATTGGCTCACTTCACGTTTTACCTTCGCCTTGCTGTCTTGACTGTCTCTTATGATGCCTGTGCAAGCATGTGGGCCAGATAATAACAATACTTCTTAAAGACACACATAGTACAAATTGGACACCGGTGTGACGTTATTATTTTTTATTTCTTTGCTTCTTTATTCTCCTTTCTTCTCCTCCTCCTCTCCCTTTCTAGTCTGCATGCATACATCTCTTTCCAGTGTGGGGGTTTGGAGGCCTTCATCACCTCCTCCCAAATGTGAGATGTGTGGGCTAAACCGCTTTGCCACCAATTATACTAATTTCACTTCTGCCTAAATTGTTTTGCTTGTTTTGATATGCAAAGATGCTCACAGTGGGGAGATTGAGGGGCATCACTGCAGGGCTCAGCACACACCTTCCCCCCTCACAGCCTGCCAGAGCAATGGGCATCGCCAGTCCATGCCTGGTGAATGTATGTGTGGTGAACAGACTCAGGTACAGACAACACTGTATACTGTAAAACAAACACTGGAATACAGTGTTTAAGTGTGCGTGTGAATGTGTGTGAGTGTGTAAGTACACACAGTAGCCCCTAAGTGCTACTATATCATTGATTGGAACTGAGGGCTTTAATTGCCAGACACTCAGAATTTGCCCTCGGGAACTGGTTAACATGGTGTAAATTTGAGCACATAAAATAAATAGAAATTAGAAGATACAACTTAGATAAATGCCTACACTTAGGATAGCATATTATAGGACATGAAATGATATGACAGTGCAATACAGTGCAGGATAGGACAGAAGAGGCCCAGTTGGTGAGTTAGTCTGGACCAATTCTTCACTATGTGTTGTTGAAAAGTTTTAATAGGATTGAGATAAAATCCAGATTATCCTGATCTCAGCAGATAGCTGGATTCAGGGTGGATTTAGGGAACAAAATGTAATAAAACTTTAAAATTGGTCAAATAAAAAACACAACATAAACATTTGTATAATGTAGAAAATTTAATTAATGTAACTATTACAGTGATAAGGAAGACACTGTAGACATTAAGCCACCAATTAGGCCTGTCAGTAGAGTACCAAAAATGCCTGTCAATATTTTAAAAAATATATAATTTGTCACTGTATATTATTAAATGTACATGTCATCAGGTGATGCATGTGTTTTTTAGCTTATAAAATCTGACCTCATCACAAATGAAAAACTATGAACATGTTTTATTTTAATAACTATTAAATGTTATATTTTCTGATTGAAAACACATGTTCAAAACTATCTGAACTGGTGAATCGTACGGGTTTTCTCAATTTATTTGTTGTGTGTCAGACAACAAGTTGGACTGCTTACAAGACACTGAAAATGGAAGGGGAAGTTTATATTGCTTCATTGTGCTGTTTTCTGTCACTTAAAGTGACCCCACGGTGGCTATTCTACCTGTTCTTCTTTATATAGCTAGTATTTTATATTATGATATGTAGTTTAATTTATGGAGCACTAGTAATCCAGATATTGTAATCCTGAAAAGTTGGTATCTGGATCAGAGTAATCTAATTCAATGTTGCTTTGAGAAAAAACAGTAAACAAGTAAGATGAAATACCTGATACTGGATAGCTAAACATGGGGTGTTTAAATCTGGATCATTCTGATTTTAAACAACTGGGCCCTGGTTTGGAAGGGGCAAGATGGAACAGTATAGAATATAATGTGACAGGATTGATTGGGAATGCTCTGTGGAGTAGTAATATGCTCACTATATTTCTGAAATATGTTCCACACAACTGAAAAATTTCCCTTGGTGTTGCAGTAGGATTAAAGCAGAGGAGTCACAGAAATGTCAAGAATCATCTTCTGGGGACTATAAATATCCGACTGCATGGCAACACTTAATTTTTCACCCTCACCTCTATTAGAGCATGGGGCTTACAGATCAGCTGAGCAAGTCAAACAGTGGACTAACTTTGCTTTTGAAGTTTGAGAAGATAAATGGTGACAGAGACCAAGTGGCACTGTTTAAACCAGACTGACTTTTCATTTCGTGCTGTTCAATAGATGCCATCGGGGACAAAAGGCTGAATATGTATTTACATTGTTCTCTGATTATGTTTCATAAAAAACTAAACTGTCTAGCCAGCTTAGTCTATTACTCATTCTAAGCCCTAAAACAAGGCACATGTCACCAAAGCAAACAAGCAAATAAACAACAAGTGGGCTGATGTAGCCTGAAGGTTAGTGGGATAATCTCGCTACCAGAAAGCTGGCATTTTTAAACCTCCATCTGAATGGGCAATCTAACTTCGATAACAAGGAATCCTGATGTGCCCTTGAGCAAGGCCTACAGGCCTTAGCCCCCAGTGGTTGTATGACGATCAGTAGATGGAAGCCTGTAGCTCTTTTGTGCTTCCATTAAATTTACAGTGGATTAAGATTTCACTATTAAGACTCCTTTACTTCACTTTGTGTTGAAGACATATTCTTTAGACACAATATTCCATAATAAAAAATGAAAACACATTTGAAGAAATTATCTGAAATTTTATGAAAGATTGAAGTTATTCAGCATGTTAGAAGTGTTCTTGGGATAAGTCTTTCGAACCTTTGCTCACCTGGATTTAGGAAGTTTATCATTTATCCTGACACATCTTGTCAACACTCTTTCAAACTGGATATGAAGTGTCTGTGAACTGCCACCTTTAGGTCTTTCCATAGGGGGTTTAAGTGTGGGCCTTAATTGGATCATTTAGAGATAGTCAGACGCTTGTCCTAAAGGAAGTTGTGTGCGACACTGTCTGTTTACTCTGGGTCATTCTTGTGCTCAAAGAGCCCGATCTCTGGTTGTGTGGACTTTGGAGGTTTTCTTGAAGGACCTCTTTGTATTTAGCTGCATTCATCCTTCCCTCAACAACTTTGAGCACAACCCCCATGGCATGATGCTGTCACCTCCATGACTTACTGTCTGGATGGTATTAGCAGGTTGATGAGCAGTGCATGGTGTTACAACCCAGTTTGACTTCCAGTTTGAAAGAGCAACAAATTCTGTGTAAAGAGGCAGGCGAGGAGGATAAGGACATTGACCGGACCCAAGGGAATCTTTAGTCTCAGATTTAAGTTTCATTTTCACTAGAAGTTTACTTTTGGTTTTCATAAGCCTTCTGGTTAGGTTTAGGCACCAAAAGCATGTGATTAGGTTTGGGATAATATTACACTTTGGACAACACTTTAACAAAAGTAACTACATGTTAGAAGCTCGGGTAAGTTTAGGCACCAAAATACTTGGTTAGGAGAAAAGTGACCAGACCGCTGCTGGTGTCCCTCAAACCACCAGTACTCATGGAAGGGAATAATGTTAGGGAGAGCAGGAAGGGCATAAAAAACTCAAGTCCAGGCAGTCAAGATGGATTTGAAAAGAAAAAAAGGACTTTATTTCAGTGGGCTACAGATATATTAAAAAAGACACCAATATGTTTCGATTGGCTCCTTCCTCACGGCTTAGGAAAAATGTTTTTTTTGTAAAGCACAACCCTTCGACAAGGAGCGACAGTATAACATTAAACACATGGCAAAGATATGAAAATTAGGAATGTATTTGTAATATGCTACAAACATAATCCGGCAGAAAAGACAATTCCCTTAGAACATAATTGAGAATGCAGTTGAGCTGTATTAGAACATAATGTAGTGGAGATATGATTAGGTGGTGAATTCTGCCCAAGAAGTTCACTTTTCTCCTCATCAGTCCAGGGAATATTTTTCTGCATATTCTCAAAGCACTTTATGCGTCCTTTTGCAAACTCGAAACAAGCATTTTTTAAAATCCTCAAAACCACAAATAAAGACAGAAAAAAATATTTAGAGGTATTATTTTTGCTTTCCTTACCTAGATAGTGGATGAAACAGCTTCAACTGCTGTCTATGGAGACGGCGCTGTGAAATAGGTGGAAGTACTGGAAAGTAACGGAATAACTCTATTTACATACACTATATTGCCAAAAGTATTTGCTCACCTGCCTTGACTCGCATACGAACTTAAGTGACATCCCATTCTTAATCAGTCCAGAGAGTTGAAGCTGTTATAGCTGCAAAGGATGGACCAGTGTCATATTATACATTGGTCCATCCTTTGCAGCTATAACAGCTTCAACTCTCTGGGAAGGCTGTCCACAAAGTTTAGGAGTGTGTTTATGGGAATTTTTGACCATTCTTCCAGAAGTGCATTTGTTAGACGAGAAGGCCTGGCTCTCAGTCTCTGCTCTAATTCATCCCAAAGGTGTTCTATTGGGTTGAGGTCAGGACTCTGTGCAGGCCAGTCAAATTGTTCCACACCAAACTCTCTCATCCATGTCTTTATGGACCTTGTTTTGTGCACTGGTACACCGTCATGCTGGAAGAGGAAGGGGCCATCTCCAAACTGTCCCCACAAAGTT